CGTCTTTCGGATGAGACGTTAAACCGAGGTCCTGACTCTCTGTGGTCATTAAAAATCCCATGGCACTTCTTGTAAAGAGTAGGGGTGTAACCCCGGTGTCCTGGCCAAATTGCCCCCCCCCCCCGGCGTTTGTCAATCATGGCCTCCCAATAATCCCCCAACCACTTGATTGGCTCTATGACTCTCTCTTCTCTCCACCTGTAGCTGGTGTGTGGTGAGCGCACTGGCGCCGTTGTCACTGGTGGTGGTTGAGGAGAGACCCCACGCATGATTGTAAAGCACTTTGGGAGTACAACAATACACAATAAAGCGCTATATAAATGCATCATTCATTTATTCATTCATAATGATACTGACATGCATGTCTGGGGGAGAGAGTTATATACATATTGATACTTAATTTATAAAATGTGTATATATATATTTTAATGTTATAATTCATTTATTCAATCCATTTTTTAAACATTTCAAACACTTGCCTGCACTAAAATAACACATTTACTTATACATATTTAACTTAAGTTGAATAATAAAAAAAAATACATATATATTTTGTGTATACACACACACAAATAAAGCGCTATATAAATGCATCATTCATTCATTAAAAATACTGCAGAAAAAGAGAACATCAATGAGGAGAAGATCTTGTTTACATCAAAACCGAAACCAAGCCGTTCACGCATTTTCTAGAGGGGCATCTATCACTGTTGCACTCGCGTCTCGCACAAAAGAGCCGCATGTTTAGAAAGCCATGTGAAATTAATGCAAGTTTAACTTTGAAAAAAAACATATATCGAGACTTTATGGCGGGGTTTTGCCCATCCCACTGCAGCTAATGTTTTTAAATGAAAAATGTACTCCGTGTGATTGGCTTTGCGGCCTCTGTATTAAACTACGCATACATACATGCTGCGGTTTTGTTTATCGCTGTTTGAGCAACTTAATTATAATTGGTTTATAAACATAATTTTATGCACTTTTTGAATGATGCGCCCTCTTGTGGCCTCGGGAGAGAAGCCAAAAGCTTTTGTTCACCCTGACTGAAATTATGCATGATTTAAATTCTAATATAATTCGAATTTTGATCATATTTAACATTCGAATGTCGTTTTCCAGCCATTCTGACAGCCCTAGAAGACAGACACGGTCTCATGCAAACGATCAGATATCATGGAAACCAGCTGGTATCTGAACAAGTCTGGAGAGCAAAACCACCTCAAAATCTGGTCTGGTCAGATGGTTTTCAGAGTCAGAGTCAGCTCAGCATCAGGATGAATGAGGGTTGCTGAGCTGCCATATTTGACAGTGCAGCACTGGCATCACGTGACAGCTTGCTTAAACCCCGCACTGCATCCCACTGAACGCCTGTATTAGTCATGTATCAGATGCTTTCTAACAGCGTGGCTCATCGTGGACTTATTACAGTCCTGCTGGAGTAACCTGAGGTTTACAGTCTTGATTAACAACCGTTAAATGAGACTCGAACCTGCTACCTCTCAATGACCAGACCACACTAATAACCAATAAACCAACGGAATCAAGACCACTCCCAAACAGACAGCCCTTGCTTTAGATTATCGACGAAAATAACATTCAGAGCTCCGTTTAAACATCGTTTTAAATAGAAAGAGTGGATCGCATCGAGCACGTGGAGCCCTGAGCGCGAGCCATGACGCAGGAGTTTACCTCAGAGAGTTTCCCGCGTTATTTCACCCCAAAACCGACGCGTTATTTCACGCGATCTGTCTAAATCATCTGCTCGGTTATCACACACTTCGTTTAGAACGACGTTAGTTTGAGATTTGCGGAAAGCGTGGGTATTTTTCTGGAAACAGACAAGGCCTCGCGCATTGCGCGACGCACGTCTAGTCAAAATACCTATCTGCATCTGTTTAATCATTATAAAATGACAATAACACACTGCTTACCTCTCGCTGATGCGAACAGCGCAGTATAACGCGTTAATAAGCGTAGAAAGTCTTCTTTCTGTGCGAACAGACGAACAGCGCGTGTCGCTCCGGTGCGCACCGGTAGCAAAGATGGCGCCAGTGACGCAAAAGGGACGCGACGCGACCGCTGACGTACTCAGAGCGCGCCGATGCGAACAGAATCCGAGTGTTTATGATTATGTTTGATCATTTTTAAGGAAATGTCGCTACATTAAGGTTAGTTTTGGAAACGGAAGAAGGAAGGCACTGTTGTGCGATTGTTTTTCTGGGACGGTGAGTAACGCTGGTTTAGTTTTGCTGTAGAGATTAAAGGTAGATGTTTTTGAGTGAGCTACCGCATGTTGTTGTTGTAAGATTAAAACTTAATTAAAGTCCTTGTTATATTTGAAATGTATTTATTAAGTGGTTAGGTGGATTTGTCATGGTGTTGTGATATGTGTGTGTGTATATACCACACAGTTGAATGTTCTTAACCGTGTTCATTCATATGCAGTGTATATAACTTATATATATATATATATACTGCTGTTCAAAAGTTTGGGATCAGTAAGATGTTTAATGTTTTAAAGAAGGTTCTTCTGCTCATCAAGGCTGCATTTATTTGATAAAAAAAGACAGGGAAAAACAGTAATATTGTGAAATATTATTGCCATTTAAAATATTGGTTTCTATTTTAATATACATTAAAATGTAATGTATTTCTGTGATCAAAGCTGTATTTTCAGCATCATTGCTCCAGTCTTTAGTGTTACATGATCTTCAGAAATCAGTATAATATGCTGATTTATTATCAGAGCTGGAAACTGTTGCTGCTTCATATTTGTTTTGGAACCCGTGATGCTTTTTTTCAGGATTCTTTGATGAATAAAACATTAAAAAGAAGAGCATTTATTTAAAATAGAAATATTTTCTAATAATATACACTACCGTTCAAAGGTTTGGGGTCGGTACATTTTTATTCTTTCTTTTTTTTGAAAGAAATTCAAACTTTTATTCAGCGAGGATGTGTTAAATTGTTAAGAAGTGATAGCAAAGATTTATATTGTTAGAAAAGATTTATATTTTGAATAAATGCTGTTCTTTTTAACTTTTTATTCATCAAAGAATCCTGAAAAAGTTTCACAGTTTCCAGAAAAATATTGTGCAGCACAACTGTTGATAATTCTGATAATAAATCAGCATATTATACTGATTTCTGAAGATCATGTGACGCTTTATACTGGAGTAATGATGATGGAAATACAGCTGCACATCACAGAAATAAATTATATTTTAAAGGATATTAAAATAGAAACCATTATTTTATATTGTAATAACATTTTGCAAGATTACTGTTTTTTTCTGTATTTTTGATCAAATAAATGCAGCCCTGATGAGCAGAAGAGACTTCTTTAACCTCTTAAGACCCGAGAAAAGATTTTTAGGAAAAAATAACAGTTTACATGGTTTAGAATAGGAGCATAAAAAACAAAAACAAATTCATTGATAAGTTATGCTATGCCCTCGGTAGAGGACATCGGGACTCAATAAAAAAAATAAAAAAAAGACATGAATGAACATGCATAGGCAAAAACAATAGATTTTTAAAATCACCAATACATTTTTAGTTTTCAGGATTTTAATTTTTTTACCAAACTTTGTATAAAGATGATTCTCAAATATGATATAACAGAATTATTTGATATGCCATTTTTCTTTCTGCAAAATGTGTGTAAAATGGCCACAAACGGGTTTTCTCATTATATACAATGTGTCTATAAACTAAATCTAATTTGCATATTAATGTGTTTTTGGGGAAACATGTAATGAAAAAAGAAGTGTAATAATGGGAGTAATATTTGACAAGATTTTCATAATAATATATAATATTTCATAGAATATTGAAACATAATTTCTTTCCCTATTTATTTATGTCTCCCAAAATGCTAATAAACATGTTTTTAGTCCCGGTGTCCTCATATGAGGACATGTATGAAATCAAAAAGTTTCGTAACAGAAAGTCATATTTTGATTTGAAACCCCATAACATTTTCCTGAGATGTTGATTAATGACAGACAGTTTAAAAATTAGACAGATTTAAATGATAATTACAATATTATGACACTCTTATATTTCCATAATATCAGACATTTATGAAGAGCAAGGAGAGGGAGTGGTCATAGTGAAACATCCAAACATTTGGTATCTCTGAAAAGCCCGGAATGTGCTCTGTACAGGACATCCAGACTTAAAACTGTGGCATGTATAGTCTCAGAGAAATATACCAAAATATAATGTCCTCATATGAGGTCACAGGGTCTCAGGAGGTTAAAAAACATTACAAGTCTTACTGATCTCAAACTTTTGAGGGGTAGTGTATGTGTAAACCAATATCACACTGCATAATTTCAGCATCTTTTATTCTATCTGTGGGTGTTTTTTAATTCCATCCCTTCGGTCTCTCCTAATTTTCGCTCCTCAGTAACCATGGCGACCGCCACTAAAACCCCCCCAGGTGCAGATCCCAAGCAGCTGGAGCGCACGGGTACCGTCCGAGAGATCGGATCTCAAGCCGTGTGGTCTCTGTCCTCGTGCAAGCCAGGTGTGTGTGTGTGTCTTATTTATTCTCTGTGTTTGATGAGTGCACACCTGATTACTACATCTTTTGTTTTCCTCTGTTTAGTTATTCATTCAGTTATTGTCTTTCTGTGTGAAGGGTTTGGAGTCGACCAGTTGAGAGATGATAATCTGGAGACGTACTGGCAGTCTGATGGCTCTCAGCCACATCTAGTGAACATTCAGTTCAGGTAGAGCTACAGAGAGAGCTGTCCTCGTGCAAGCCAGGTGTGTGTGTGTCTTATTTATTCTCTGTGTTTGATGAGTGCACACCTGATTACTACATCTTTTGTTTTCCTCTGTTTAGTTATTCATTCATTCATTGTCTTTCTGTGTGAAGGGTTTGGAGTCGACCAGTTGAGAGATGATAATCTGGAGACGTACTGGCAGTCTGATGGCTCTCAGCCACATCTAGTGAACATTCAGTTCAGGTAGAGCTACAGAGAGACTCAAACATATTTAGACCCAATGCACTGATAAACCGATATATTTGGCATGGGTTCATTAACCTGACGGCATTTAGACATTTTGATACTGTTGTTTTATCGCTAGTGATTGGCTGGGTAACATGAATGTTTTTTTGGATCAGTTACAAAATATATATATATTATTTAGTAATTCATATCTCTATTTATAATATATTATTAAATTCAAATTTAAAGTGCTAGAAAAGTGGAAAATTATTTTAAGGTCATGGACAAATCATGTAGTAGTTATAGTATTTATAGAACTCGAATATATTTAACTAATTAAATTATTTAGCTTGTCTGTCTGAAATATACATTTAAAAAAAATCCTTATACAGTAATAAATTAACTCTAAAGACCCCAAAAATGCACTGATCGATAGATATGTTTTTTAAAGTGAATTTCAAGTAAGTATTTTGAAAAATATTGAATTTAATTTAGCCTGTTTTTATGTAGCTCTCATTGGTTATTATTAAATTTTGTTATTATATCATATAAAAGCATTATGTCTAGCAACAATCCTGCTCTCTAGCCACTAAAAAGGCATTTATATATATATATATATATATATCAGACATGTATATATCTTTACATTTTTAGTAACTTAAGTCAAATTAGGTCTCATCTTGTATTGAATTGTCAATGCTGATGTATGTTGATTTTCTATTAAAAATAAGTCTGTGCTTAGAAAATAATGCTTTAGACACTTTCATTTAAAAAAATCTGACCTGAGATCAGTGCATACTGTATTATGTTTAGAAAACACTAAAGTAACAGTAAAACATGATTATGATGAATATTATAATGGACACTTTTCACAGCGGGGCCCTCGGAGGTCTGTGCATGCCACTGCAAACTGTATGTGTTTTAATAGAATCAGAGAATGTTTCCTCTCTGTTGTGTCCTGTTAGGAGAAAAACCACTGTGAAAATGCTGTGTATTTATGCCGATTATAAATCGGATGAGAGCTACACTCCCAGCAAGATCTCGGTCAGAGTGGGAAACAACTTCCACAACTTGCAGGAGATTCGGGTAAGAAACACAGATCAAGTCACAGTCATAATCTATGTTTGTGGTGGCTGTTGTGGAGGTTAACGTTGCATTGCTGTGTGCGCCCCCTTTTGGACTGATGACTGACTGTATTTGTCATCTGACTGCATGAACCGTACTGTACCGTTACACGCCTAATATACACTGCTGTTCAAAAGTTTGTAATGTTTTTTAAAGAAGTCTCTTCTGCTCATCAAGGCTGCATTTATTTGATCAAAAATACAGAAAAAAAACAGTAATCTTGCAAAATGTTATTACAATTTAAAATAATGGTTTCTATTTTAATATCCTTTAAAATATAATTTATTTCTGTGATGCAAAGCTGTATTTCCATCATCATTACTCCAGTATAAAGCGTCACATGATCTTCACGGGTACCGTCCGAGAGATCGGATCTCAAGCCGTGTGGTCTCTGTCCTCGTGCAAGCCAGGTGTGTGTGTGTGTCTTATTTATTCTCTGTGTTTGATGAGTGCACACCTGATTACTACATCTTTTGTTTTCCTCTGTTTAGTTATTCATTCATTCATTGTCTTTCTGTGTGAAGGGTTTGGAGTCGACCAGTTGAGAGATGATAATCTGGAGACGTACTGGCAGTCTGATGGCTCTCAGCCACATCTAGTGAACATTCAGTTCAGGTAGAGCTACAGAGAGACTCAAACATATTTAGACCCAATGCACTGATAAACCGATATATTTGGCATGGGTTCATTAACCTGACGGCATTTAGACATTTTGATACTGTTGTTTTATCGCTAGTGATTGGCTGGGTAACATGAATGTTTTTTTGGATCAGTTACAAAATATATATATATTATTTAGTAATTCATATCTCTATTTATAATATATTATTAAATTCAAATTTAAAGTGCTAGAAAAGTGGAAAATTATTTTAAGGTCATGGACAAATCATGTAGTAGTTATAGTATTTATAGAACTCGAATATATTTAACTAATTAAATTATTTAGCTTGTCTGTCTGAAATATACATTTAAAAAAAATCCTTATACAGTAATAAATTAACTCTAAAGACCCCAAAAATGCACTGATCGATAGATATGTTTTTTAAAGTGAATTTCAAGTAAGTATTTTGAAAAATATTGAATTTAATTTAGCCTGTTTTTATGTAGCTCTCATTGGTTATTATTAAATTTTGTTATTATATCATATAAAAGCATTATGTCTAGCAACAATCCTGCTCTCTAGCCACTAAAAAGGCATTTATATATATATATATATCAGACATGTATATATCTTTACATTTTTAGTAACTTAAGTCAAATTAGGTCTCATCTTGTATTGAATTGTCAATGCTGATGTATGTTGATTTTCTATTAAAAATAAGTCTGTGCTTAGAAAATAATGCTTTAGACACTTTCATTTAAAAAAATCTGACCTGAGATCAGTGCATACTGTATTATGTTTAGAAAACACTAAAGTAACAGTAAAACATGATTATGATGAATATTATAATGGACACTTTTCACAGCGGGGCCCTCGGAGGTCTGTGCATGCCACTGCAAACTGTATGTGTTTTAATAGAATCAGAGAATGTTTCCTCTCTGTTGTGTCCTGTTAGGAGAAAAACCACTGTGAAAATGCTGTGTATTTATGCCGATTATAAATCGGATGAGAGCTACACTCCCAGCAAGATCTCGGTCAGAGTGGGAAACAACTTCCACAACTTGCAGGAGATTCGGGTAAGAAACACAGATCAAGTCACAGTCATAATCTATGTTTGTGGTGGCTGTTGTGGAGGTTAACGTTGCATTGCTGTGTGCGCCCCCTTTTGGACTGATGACTGACTGTATTTGTCATCTGACTGCATGAACCGTACTGTACCGTTACACGCCTAATATACACTGCTGTTCAAAAGTTTGTAATGTTTTTTAAAGAAGTCTCTTCTGCTCATCAAGGCTGCATTTATTTGATCAAAAATACAGAAAAAAAACAGTAATCTTGCAAAATGTTATTACAATTTAAAATAATGGTTTCTATTTTAATATCCTTTAAAATATAATTTATTTCTGTGATGCAAAGCTGTATTTCCATCATCATTACTCCAGTATAAAGCGTCACATGATCTTCAGAAATCAGTATAATATGCTGATTTATTATTAGAATTATCAACAGTTGTGCTGCCAAATATTTTTCTGGAAACTGTGATACTTTTTCAGGATTCTTTGATGAATAAAAAGTTAAAAAGAAGAGCATTTATTCAAAATATTAATCTTTTCTAACAATATAAATCTTTGCTATCACTTCTTAACAATTTAACACATCCTCGCTGAATAAAAGTTTGAATTTCTTTCAAAAAAAGAAAGAATAAAAATGTACCGACCCCAAACTTTTGAACTGTAGTGTATATTGTTAGAAAAGATTTCTATATTAAATAAATGCTCTTCTTTTTAACTTTTTATTCATAAAAGAATCCTGAAAAAAAGCATCACGGGTTCCAAAAAATATGAAGCAGCAACAGTTTCCAGCTCTGATAATAAATCAGCATATTATTATGATTTCTGAAGATCATGTGACTGAAGACTGGAGTAATGATGCTGAAAATACAGCTGCGCATCACAGAAATAAATTACAGTTTAATGTATATTAAAATAGAAAAACGTTATTTTGCATCATAATAATATTTCACAATATTGTATTTTTGATCAAATAAATGCAGCCTTGATTAGCTCCTGTAAAAACATAAAAAATCATTTTCACCCAAACTTTTGAACGGTAGTGTATATTTATATATAACATATTATAGATTAATAAAACAATTTTTATTAATAAAAACTATAATATTATCTCAATGATACTACAACAACACTATGGTCTCTCTCTTCTAGCATAGTAAATCAATTCATAACTCAAATCAATATTCCATGTCCATTTATTGATTTATTTAGTAAGTAATCTTATAATAAGCAGAATAATGTGCATTTTTACAAAATCAATCCTTTCATTTTGACTCTAGCGTTGTCTGTGTGTGTGTGAGAGCAGCAGTTGGAGATGGTGGAGCCGAGCGGTTGGATTCACATCCCTCTGTTGGATCTGGTGAACAATCCCATCAGGACCTTCATGATCCAGATCGCCGTGTTGGCCAACCACCAGAACGGACGGGACACGCACATGCGGCAGATCAAAGTCTACACGCCCGTGGAGGAGAGCTCCATCGGCAAATTCCCACGATGCACCACTGTAGACTTCATGATGTACCGCACCATCAGATGACCCGAGCCTCTGCTCGAATGGACGGACTGAGGTGCAGACTCTGCCTTCTCATAAGACTCTGTTCTAGAATTAAATGGTTTCAGATGGTTTAAAATGTGTTTTGGAAATTGAACAGTTCAAAGTTAATTTTATGTAAATGCAAATCTACAGGAAATAAATGGTTTTTTTGAAATTAAGAAAACCTGTCCTGTATCTCTTAATGCTGTATTACAGCAGGATGGATCAATTTAGCTTGCTTTATTCAGTTGTGATGGCAAGAGGATTGATCGCTCAATTGCATGCTCTTCTACGCAACTTTGCAGAGAGATAGGTTTTTATCAGTCCCAGGTTGCTACAAAGAGCCCTTTTGAGGAATAGCTACAAAGTTTGTGAGCTTAATGCAATACAGACATAAATATTCTTATTTAAACATCCAAACATGCGTTCAGAAGTTCAGTTTGAGACAATTAGTAGTAAATATCAACAAACATATTTAATTGATCAGGTAAGAAATAGAGATCTGCTTATATTACCATTAATAATTAAATAACATTTTTGGGTTAAAAGTGTAGGATTTATAAAGTACGATATGTCAAGCCTTTCATTTAGTTCTTGTAGTTCACATTTAAACATTCACACAACTCTATCAGACAAGTAAGAGATTTAGTTTTATTATCATTATTAATACAATAATATTTTTAGGTTAAAAGTGTAGGATGTATAGCACAAAATGTAGTTCTTTACATTTAAAAGTTCAAATTTAGGATTTTTTTAAAGCTGTAGTACTTGTAGTTCACATTTAAGCATTCAAACAAATCTATCAGGTGAGGAATAGAGATCTAGTTTTATGATCATTATTAATTAAATTTAAAAAATTTGTGTTAAAAGTGTAGGATTTATAACAAGACGTAGTACTTGCATAGTTAAAAATGTTCAAATTTTGGATTTTTAATGTAACACGTAGTACTTGTAATGCACATTTAAACATTCAAACAAATCTACCAGGTAAGGAACAGAGATCTAGTTTTATGTTCATTATTAATTAAATAAAATTTTTGGTTTAAGAGAGTAATATTTATACTGTACGATATGGCACTTCTTTCATTTAGTACTTGTAGTTCACATTTAAACATTCAGACATGCATTCGAAAGTTTAGTTTGAGACACTTAATAGCGCGTAAATATTGACCAGCATATTTAGATAATCTATCAAGTAAGGAATAGAGATCTGCTTTTATTATTATTATTATTAATTAAATAACATATTTGGGTTAAAAGTGTAGGAATTATAATGTACAATATGGCACTTCTTGCGTTCAGTACTTGTAGTTCACATTTAAACATTCAATCATGCACGCAAAAGTTTAGTTTGATACCTTTTTAGTGCATAAATATTGACAAGCATATTAAGACTATTAGGTAAGGATTTTAGATATCCTTTTATTATGATTATTAATTGAATAACATTTTTGGGTTCAAAGTGTAGGAGTTATAATATAAGATGTACTACTTGTACTTCACATGTAAACATTCAAACAAATCTATCAGGTAAGAATAGATATCTTACTATCGTTATTAATGGAAGAACTCTTTTGGGTTAAGAGTGTAGGATTTATAATGTAAGATGTAGTACTTGTAGCTCACATTTAAACATTCAAACATGCAATAAAAAGTTTAGTTTGAGACACTTATTAGCATGTAAATATTGACAAGCATATTTAGACAAGTTATCAGATAGGAAATCGTGATCTGCTTTCTTTATCATTAATATGATGAATAACGATGATGAATTAACATTTTTGATCAAAAGTGTAGGAATTTAAAATGCACTTTTTGCATGTAGTACTTGTAGTTCACATTTAAACATTTCAGACATGCATTCAAAAGTTTAGTTAGACAAGCTAAATTCAGCTTTGTTTGAGAGTTATATCTGTAGAATATTTTAAAATATAGAAAATTTTAACTGAGATACGACTTTGCTGCATCATTTTATTTATTTATTATTTTTTTGGCATTGTTTTATTGCCCATAAGTGTCACCAAAAAATATAATTTAGCTGATTGCTTTACTTGTGAGTCAATCAGTCTTTTGTGTAAGTGCAAACTTTATGTTCAACCTTGCACAAAAAGGTCAGATCAGTACACACTTGTCCACCAGGGGCTGCTATTTAGCAAAAAATAAGATTAATGTTCACTACAGGCTAAAAAGAAACTAGTAGCCTACTCGGATCTCAGCATGCATTTCATTGATTTGAACTTTTGCAAAAAATCCGTGTTAAACAAAACGGGTCAAATCTTGCTAAATGTCTCATTTCTTTGTAATAGTGATTTAATTCTAAATCTAATCATGATTATGCAACTATATTGGCACCCCAACATATAGAAACAACCTGTAGCCTGTTTGTTGCAACCCCCAATAATTTAAACATGCATTCAAAAGTTTACTTAGTAACACGTAAATATCAACAAGCATGTTTAGACAATCCATTAGGTAAGGAAAGGAAATCTGGTTTTATCATCATTAATAACGGAATAACATTTTTGGCTCAGATGTATACTATTATAGTAATATGATGTCACGTCTTACATTTCATGCTTGTAGTTCCACTTGAACTTCCTCTGAACGGTTAGAAAAGGTGCATGTTTGCATGTGTGTCTCTGTGCTGTCTGCTGGCTTCCTGTTCAGGCCCCGCTGTGGTTTGCATGATTCGGAGGCGATGATGACAAAGTGTCAGAGAACAGAAAACTCAGTTTAGGTGGAGCTGGACCTTTACGATCAACCAAAGTAGACCGGACTGAAAGATGCGCCCTTACTGTGTGCTTCTACACATTTTTGGTGAGTTATTTTACTTTTCTTTTTTTTTTTTGGAGTAGTGTATGAGCAAGGCTTGCGTGAACTTATTTGAAAATATTCAACAATATTTATCTTGTCTGAAAATATAAATAAAAAACCAAACAACATGTCTGTTAAAACATTAAATTAGTTTGAATAGAAAAATACAATAAAATTCATTTTTTTTTTGTATTTATTAGCTTTGAATATATAAACAAATATATAAAAATATCTATTCATGCAGTGATTGTCTTTTCCCATAAAAATCTCTTTCTCTTCATAAGATCTCTCAGTGTTTTCGCTTTGATAGTGATGAGATTAAATAAAGAGCAAATGCTAATGAGAGAAACATCACGTCTCTTTTAGATCTCGACAATGTGCTCACATTTGGGAGGCTTATATCTCAATATGAATTCAATATGAACGATTTCTCATCAAGTTCTATTGAATGATATTCACATTCATTCTATAGCTCCAACCTCTTATTTGTCCATCATTTGTGTCTGTTTTTATTTGTGACCCTGGAGCACAAAAGCAGTCTTAAGTCGCTGGGGTATATTTTGTAGAAATATTCAAAAATACATTGTATGGGTTAATGATTTTTCTTTTATGCCAAAAATCATTAGGATATTAAGTAAAAATCATGTTCCATGAAGATATTTAGTAAATTTCCTACTGTAAATATATCAAAACTGAATTTTTGATTAGTAATATGCATTGCTAAGAACTTCATCTGAACAACTTTAAAGATGATTTTCTCAATATTTAGATTTTTTTGCACCCTCAGATTCCAGATTTTCAAATAGTTGTATCTCAGCCAAATATTGTTTTATCCTAACAAACCTTACATCGATAGAAAGCTTATTTATTCAGCTTTCAGATGATGTATATATCTCAATATCGAAAAATTGACCCTTATGACTTGGTTTTGTGGTCCATTTCTCCTAATGGTTGATGCAATGTCATAAATGTAGATGCTGAATTTAATAAACCTTATATATGGTCACACTTTATTTTAAGATATTAACTAATTATTAACTATGACTTTTTTCTCTATAAACTCCTAATTTGCTGCTTATTAATAGTTAGTAGGTAGTAGTTAGTGGGATTAAGATATGGTCATGCAGAATAAGGCATTAATAAGTGATTTATAAGTACTAATACACAGCCAATATGCAACATGCATGTTTTTTTTTTTATGAATTCTTTTATTATACTTCCAGCTGCTCTACTCTTGTGTGATTATGGGATGTTCTCCACACCATCACCATCTCCTTCAGAGATGTCCACCACTGCAATATCAGCCACATCCGACTCTAACACTGTGACGACAACAGAATCAATAACTGTCGGGAATGACTCGAGCTTGTTAGAGACTGGCTTAGAGGATGAAGGGTCCATTGATTTAAATGATACAGCTGAGAGCAGTGGAGACTCTTCTGACAATGAATCTAAAAGTCTGAATGGAAGTGTCAGTGGAGTGATCTCTTCAACTACACATCCAGCGAGCACCACGCTCAACGCGAAGCACCTTACTACTGAAGACAAAAAAGGTTGGATAGGAATTAATAAGTGATTTATAAGTACTAATACACAGCCAATATGCAACATGCATGTTTTTTTTTTATGAATTCTTTTATTATACTTCCAGCTGCTCTACTCTTGTGTGATTATGGGATGTTCTCCACACCATCACCATCTCCTTCAGAGATGTCCACCACTGCAATATCAGCCACATCCGACTCTAACACTGTGACGACAACAGAATCAATAACTGTCGGGAATGACTCGAGCTTGTTAGAGACTGGCTTAGAGGATGAAGGGTCCATTGATTTAAATGATACAGCTGAGAGCAGTGGAGACTCTTCTGACAATGAATCTAAAAGTCTGAATGGAAGTGTCAGTGGAGTGATCTCTTCAACTACACATCCAGCGAGCACCACGCTCAACGCGAAGCACCTTACTACTGAAGACAAAAAAGGTTGGAGCATTTCTTATCAACTGTTAGGTGGTTATGGGTAATGGAAGCTGGTGTCTCTTTACTGTAGTATTATTAGACTGTGTCTCTGAATGCCCGTTATTACTTACGACATTCTCTAGTTTATTTGTGTTGGAACGGCCGCTGAGCGTTCTGCAGAGTTTAAGCACTAAACCAGCTCGCAGGCAGTCTCAGTGGTTTGAAGGGCTATATCTGAACTATAGCTTACGTGCATTACCTACATGCAATATTTCCCCAGTTTAAAAAAAAAAGGTCCTTTTATTGAAGCTTCAAAAATGACTCGCTTTCAGCTTTTTGACATTAAACAGATGAACACACATTTATGCTACCGGTCGAAAGTTTTAAATAATTAATAATCATTTTTGAAAGAAGTCTCTTCTGCTCACCAAGGCTTCATTTATTTGATCATAAATACAGTAATGTTGTGAAATATTATTACAATTTCAAATAACTATTTTGGTAACACTTTACAATAAGGTTCATTAGTTAAACATTAGTTAATGTATAAACTAACATGAACTAACCACGAGCAATACATTTGTTACTGTATTTACTAATCTTCACTAACGTTAGTTAATAAAAATACAGATGTTCATTGTTAGTTCATGTTAGTTCACAGTGCATTAACTAATGTTAACAAGATTTTAATAATGTGTTAGTAAATGCTGAAATTAACAAAGATTAATAAACGCTGTGTAAGTGCAGTTCATTATTAGTTTATGTTAACTAATGTAGTTAACTAATGAACCTTATTGTAACGTGTTACCACTATTTTTAATGTGAATATCTGATCAAAAGCTGTATTTTCAGCATCATTACTGCAGTCTTCAGTGTCACATGATCTTCAGAAATCAGTATAATATGCTGATCTGCTGCTCAAGAAACATTTCTGATTATTATCAATGTTGAAAACAGTTGTGCTGCCAAATATTTTTGTGGAAACTGATATGTTTTATTTTTCAGGATTCTTTGAATATAAAGTTCAGCATTTATTTAAAATAGAAATCTTTTGTAACTTTATAAAGGACTTTACTTTCAATTTTGATTAATTTAAAGCACGCTTGCCGAATAAAATTCTTAATTTCGTGATGCTGAATTAACACAGCATGCTAAATTTGATCACAGCAATAAATTACATTTTAACATAATATATTCACATAGAAAACTGTTATTTTAAATTGTAATAATATTTCGCAATGTTGCCGTTTGTATAGTATCTTTGATCAAATAAATGCAGCCTTGATGAGCAGAAGAAACTTTTTAAAAAAATAATTAGACTTTTGACCCGTAGTGTACATTTCTATATACATATCTAGAAATGTTGTTACACGTATTCTGTGTTTTGAAATTTGTGGTAAAGTCTGTAAAATATAAGACGGACATAAGTTCTGGAGCAAAAAATAGTGGACTTTAAGAACAAATGTATCATTTTAAATGCATAGTGACTAAAACATACAAGATGTTTCTGACAAGTTGAGAAAATGTCGGCGCTGACAGTGTAAAGTGTGTGAAGGGCCGGTTTCAGAGCTGCTCTGAGATCTGAGCGGTTAAAGTGTGAGTGGGTGCGAGATTCGCCATGTTTCTTGCTTTTTGATTGCAGACTCACCACAGCAGCAAAATCTCTCTCTTTCTCTGTTCTATTTAAATCTTGTGTGTAGCAGCATGTTCGTAGACTCACACCAAAGCTTTTTATTTATTTCAAATGATTTGATCATAATTGCATGCTCTCAAAAGCAGATAGTAGTTTCTCAGTGTGTCTGAATTCATTCTGCTGGGGTCTTTGTTGGTTTGTTGTAACGTGACCATTATTCTGTTTCAGATTCAGAATCGGTGACAGGAGGTGAGCTTGACCTTCTGCACATCGCAGCGTCTGCTTTGCTGAAGATAGGAAACACATCCTTTCTTCCTGTCGTAATGTTTCTGCACACTTGACTCTGAAACTATCTCTATTTTCACATTAAATCTCGTTCATGTGCTGAAGTAATGCCTATTCTCTCTATAAACTGAAAACCACAACATCAAATCTCTGTATGTTGTTGCCAGGTATCATCATTTTGATCATCATCCTGATCCTGATCTGTTTTCTGCTTGGCATTTTATATATTCTGAGAAAGAAAGCAAGGGTAAGATTTTATTGGTTATTTCATTTTGTATGTTTTGGATCTGTTGCAAACACTAGTGAGCTGCCTTGCCATGCTGTCTAACTCATTTCGAAGATAGTTTCCTAATTAAATCTCACAAGAATGGGGAGAGAAGTTGAGTGAATTTACTTTATTTCAATTCTTTTTATTATTATTATTGAATTGCTCACATCACTTGCATCAAAGAGGATCACTCAGTTTTGAATTTGTACTTTTTTTAAAAATTGAACCCTGTATTGCATTTTATAAAATAAAAAATACATAATTTAATCAAGTTGAATTTAACAAATGTATTTATTTATTGCCAAACAACAACATAGCTGTCTGGAATTTCTTGGTGAGCTCAAACACAACTTAGACACTAAGGCAAAAACAAACACATGCATACATGCATCAATTATTCCAACCATTATAAAGAATGAAATACAAATGCATAAGTGCCAGAAGAGTTTAAAACATGGACCATCCTGCAATAGGTACTATTCAAAAAGCATGCTCTCTGCAAATAAGTTTTGTATTTAATTAAATGTTATATAATTTATTATTATTTCTATTTATTTATTGATTGATTAATGTTTGTTTGTACCTACCTACTTTTCAGATGCTTTAAATGCTCTTTAGGCATTATTATTATTATTAACTTGCTTAAATCACTTACGCCAAAGAGGGTCACACTGTCATTTCTTGCAAAGAAATTTTGATTTTTAAAAAGGGAAAGTGTGTGTTTTCAATGCAACAGTCAAGATCTTGCAACTTATCTGTTCAAGATGCCTTGATCTGAACTAAATTGTTTATTTTTTAATCGAATCCTAGATTGCATTTCATAAAATAAATTTTTTTAACATACATTATTTATTTTAACCACTTTTCAGATGCTTTAAAATGCTCGTTAGGTCGACAGCTCGCTAAGGTTTGGAACACAGTCACTGTATGGCTAACACTGAACATTTTGCATTTATTCTCTCACACACATACACACACACACACACACACACACACCTAGTATTCTTTCTGCATAACTCTTGCATTGTGATTGTAGAGTTACTCATTTGATTTGACTCGTATCGATGGACTTGGCAATGATTATGACACCCCGCTCAGGAGCGACCAACAAGGCCTAAGCTATGAACAAACCAACAAAGGCAAGTGTGAATGTAAAACGCACCGGAATATGAACGTGATCTTGATTCATCTGTGTGCAGTCTGTTTAGAAACTCAAAATCAGCCTGTGACTTGTTAACCTGTGTTCATGTCTTTCTGCTCAGATCTGTCTGTGACTTTAAATTACATCCAAGAAGACAAGGCTGAGGAAAAGACTAATCCGATAGCAAATGGGTCTGCAGGAGAGAAAACTGAACAAACACCGACCAATGAAAATGGTAAAGCACATAGGCGCTCTCTTGTGACAAAAGCTGATCCAAACAGCAGCATTTTTACATTGCTTTGGCAGAATTGCATAATTCAAAACCTTGTCTTGATGGTCACTATTTTCCTCTCTGTATAATCTTCATTGGGAGGGGAATGAATGGGTTGTTTGAATTCACTTTATTGCTTTCCATGGTGATGAGAGTATGTCTGTAATCTTAAAGATGAGCAGAATGTTCCAGAAGAGAACAGTTTCTCTTCAAACTCGAGCTTGTCTACGCCAGTGAAGAAAGTGGAGTTTAACCTGGACTTGGATCTGCTTGGAAGTGAATTTGAATTAAGTGCTGAGACCGAAGCTGAAGCCACAGATGCGGAGCAAAATGAAAACAACAATAACGTCAGTAATGCTGGTCAGTACAACCAAAAAAATTAATTGGCCAAACATGATTTTGGCCTCTTATGTCAACAAAAAAAGTTCAAAATTTTAGGTCCATGCATGGGTAATACCGTGAGCTTACAATGTCATTGGGTTTTCTGTATTACAGGGCGAGGAACAGCAGAAGAGATCTTCACTGAAATCAGTCTAGACGAGCCAAAGGAGCATGCATAGCGTGTGTTTCCCATGCAACAATCAAGATCTCTGGTCTTTGGTACCTAGATTCAACTCTATCTGTTCAAGATGCCTTGATCCGGACTATATGAGTGCTAAAGCGTCCTTTTGACATTCTCACTTCAAGTGCTGTTTCATCTACTGTTAAAAGAGATTGTATACTGTACATAAAAAAAGAACATTGAATCATTAAAGTTTATGTAAAAAATGTTAGCATACAAATGTTGTATAAAATAATTTGTGGCTGTAATAAACGTTCACTGCACTTGTGTGTGTGTGTGTTTTGGACTGATGCTCTCTGTTAAAGGGACAGTTCGCCCACAAATGAAAATTAAGTCATCGTTTACTCACCCTTGTGTCCTTCTAATGCCATATGCCCATCATTTTTTTTCTGAACACAAAAGGAGATTTTTTTTTTAGAAATGTCCCATACGCTCGTCCATATAGTGACAGACAGTGCTGGGTAGATTACAAATTGCATGAAAAAAATTGTAATCAGCAATGTCATTTAGATTACTCATTTTAGGTAATGTATTCTGACTGCTATTGGATTACTTTTAGATGACTTATGACCTAACTTGTTTCTAGATTTAAATTGGATTATTATTATTATAGAAAAAAAACAAATGTATGACTATTAAACAACATCAGAGAACGTGCAAATGTGTTGTTAAATGCACGATTTTTTATTAAAATATCCAAAACCACTGGAACAGTGTTATATATTTTGCTGACTTGTGTACTTCCATTATCCCAAATGTTTCGAAGAATGTTTAAATCCAGAGAAATAAGCAATTTTAACTAGTGACATGGAGCGTGTCCATAGTGTCATTGTGTCGCCTGCTAATGACGTCATAACCCCTCGATTTCCGGTTTTGTTTTGTAGAAAACATGGAAACACCAAAGATGCTTAAATATGTTGTACGTTTTAATAGACCGGTGACGACCGCACAGAGTAGCATTATAACAGAACTTTCAAATGTATCTAGAATGATAAAACAGCGCTGCTTTACCCCACAGACACACGACCGGAAGCAGTGGAAGGGCTCGAATGTGGCATAATAAAAGCTCCGCGGCTCTACCCCACATACGCATGACCGGAAGCGGTCGACTGGGGCATAATAAAAGCTCCGCGGCTCTACCCCACATACGCATGACCGGAAGCGGTCGACTGGGGCATAATAAAAGCTCCGCGGCTCTACCCCACATACGCATGACCGGAAGCGGTCGACTGGGGCATAATAAAAGCTCCGCGGCTCTACCCCACATACGCATGACCGGAAGCGGTCGACTGGGGCATAATAAAAGCTCCGCGGCTCTACCCCACATACGCATGACCGGAAGCGGTCGACTGGGGCATAATAAAAGCTCCGCGGCTCTACCCCACATACGCATGACCGGAAGCGGTCGACTGGGGCATAATAAAAGCTCCGCGGCTCTACCCCACATACGCATGACCGGAAGCGGTCGACTGGGGCATAATAAAAGCTCCGCGGCTCTACCCCACATACGCATGACCGGAAGCGGTCGACTGGGGCATAATAAAAGCTCCGCGGCTCTACCCCACATACGCATGACCGGAAGCGGTCGACTGGGGCATAATAAAAGCTCCGCGGCTCTACCCCACATACGCATGACCGGAAGCGGTCGACTGTGACATAATAAAAGCTCCGCTGCTTTACCCCACATATGCACGACCAGACGGAGCGGAAGCAGTCGAATGTGGCATAATAAAAGCTCCGCTGCTCTACCCCACATACGCATGACCGGAAGCGGTCGACTGTGGCATAATAAAAGCTCCGCTGCTCTACCCCACATACGCATGACCGGAAGCGGTCGACTGTGGCATAATAAAAGCTCCGCTGCTCTACCCCACATACGCATGACCGGAAGCGGTCGACTGTGGCATAATAAAAGCTCCGCTGCTCTACCCCACATACGCATGACCGGAAGCGGTCGACTGTGGCATAATAAAAGCTCCGCTGCTCTACCCCACATACGCATGACCGGAAGCGGTCGACTGTGGCATAATAAAAGCTCCGCTGCTTTCGAGCCGTGTGTCACGCTTGTTCAGCGGCCTCGTTTCACTTCGATGGCTTTCAGCCTCACCCTGCTTCATTCTACTACGCTAATAAATCATTAACTCATCCATGAACATGATTTCCGAGTACCGTCAGATTGCGTCAGCTGTGGGGATGAAGACCACAACTCCCATAATTCCACACTCAGTCACCCTACGCCTTTGTTTCTTTGTTTGTTTTGAATACGCGCCCTCTAGCGGCGAAAATTACATATTGTGCCTTTAAATTAATAAAATGTTAACTTTAAATCTCAGGAGGACTTCAAGTAAATATTTAAGGTCAGAGAGGTTTGACTGACAAAACCAGTTTGAGAAATCCTTGCATCACATGAACAAACATTAATAAACATGATAAAAACAGCGATGACATGGTCAAAGTCTTCCAAGTTTGAAAGATTTTTGACATCATGTTATACATCGGCAGTGTTTTGTAACTTGCATGATTATTCATCTCATGCATGGTATAATTGACTGAGAGGTGCTTTTGTCCCCAAATTCAGATGCATGGTGTGGGATTGCCAAATTACAAATCTTCTGATCCTACATCCTGACATAACATAATATGAGAAACTCAAGTGATCTACATTGTATTGGGCATTCAGTGTGGCTCATTATTTTTTTCGATGAGGGGTTTTGCCAGTATCTGATCTTCCTACTGAGAGTCAAACTATGTGTGAATGTTTACATGTGTATAGTTCTAGTCACCAGGTGGAGCTTATAATATTTGGTGATAATGTTATCTATCAGGTTTAGGCATGCTGGTGATCTGTTTTGATCTCACCGACTTATCTTTAGGACTATAGGTTTACTGGAGCTCACGGCTGGAGGTGATTGCCTGTATTGTCTTTAGATGTTTTGTTTAAGTGGTCACTTCTGTGGTCGACATCTTTAAGGACGGCCCACTGAATGCCTATAAAATACAATGAATGCCTGCCTTAGTCAGCCTTTTGATAAAGAATAAAGAATCCTGCTGAAGATACCCAAGAGTCTCCTGGTCTTTGCTTCTGAGTTTCCAGCAATGGTTTGCAAATTAATTTACATGACATTTAAATGGCCATAATATATCCTGGAGGTTCACTGTATTCAATATGACACACGATAGAAAATATATTATGGAGAAAAAAAGCAGAATTAGGGAGAATAACTAAATTATGAATAATTTACTGCCACTGCTATGTGCATAATTTGTAATCATGTAATCCATAAAAAAGTAACTACAATTATGAGCATTTAAGAAAATAATATAATCTAATTACAAGTATACTACATTTTTGGAATCTGATTATGTATCCCAGATTACATGTAATCAGTTACTACCCAGCACTGATTGTATGACGATCAGCATCAAGCTTTTTAAAAAAAGATGTAAAGTTGTTGTATAAAACTTGTTGTTGGGTCGAGCACAACAGATATATTATCTTGTTTTTTCACAATTTGTGTGCTTTTCCTGGCGAGTCGGAGTGAACTGCTGTGCTAATAGAGACTCATGAACGCGCAGTCCTGCACAGAGACCAAAGGTCAAGGTCAGGATATTCGTTAAATAATAAATTACATTTTGGTTTGTTTTTCACCAAAACCCTGTCATATATCCAACGAACACTTATGTTGCGTGGGATCATTCTGCATGTACCTAAAGTGACATATTAGTACAAGGAAAGGTACTGCCCCAGTGACCGCTTTTTCCGTTTTTTTGTATTGCAGAAGGCCCAAAGACACACTGGTGAAGATTACACACCCAAATCAGTTTGAAAGTACGTCTCATGTCAAGCTTTTTGATACACATGGGTAAAAATCCATCAACCGAATGTGCTAAAATGGTAAAATGGTGACCTCGATGTGGGCTTGTGCCTTAATTGGTGATCTTGCCCTGACCACTGGATTTATTTCGACTAGTTGCCTTACACTCACACTCAAGTACGTGTCTTTCCTTCATGTGCACCAGAACTGAGAATTGTTCTTCCTGTGTGTAGATGTCAGTGCAATCTGTTGTGGATACCCCTGTGTGCATACGGGACTGATCTTTAAGAACACACTCCTGAAATGAGAGTGACATTAGACAGTGTGTCTAAAGATAGCTGAGGAAACTCCCCTGTCTGACGGGAACTGCCCAACATGTTTAAGAGAGCGCTAGAGCAGGACAGGTTTTCCTCTGATCAAACTACCTAAAGGTCATCGATGTTGAATGTTCATGTCAAAGAAACAGGTAGCAGAAATGACATTTTTCTTCATCAAAAGCCTGTTAGTGTGCAGAATGGAAATAGTGTGAGACAACGCCCTCTGCTGGAGACAATGAACTGCAGATAGATAAAATGATAGGTAAAATAAAAGATAGATAGATAGATAGATCGATAGCAATCAGCAAATCAGCATATTAGAATGATTTCTGAAGATCATGTGACACTGAAGACTAATGTATGAGTAATGATGCTGAAAATACAGCTTTGATCACAGAAATAAATTACATTTTAGTATATAATCACTTTTTTTGTTTTTACTGTATTTTTAATTAAATAAATGCAGCCTTGGTGAGCTTTATTTCAAAACGTTAATATATATATATATATATATAAATTTCAAATGTTTGTCAACCTTTATTTATTAAAGAAAACACATACAAATCAATACATATAAATACATTAAAATTTCATTTTAAATTATTCAAAAGAAAGTTTGCCTTATTTTCTCTTTCATTTACTGACAGCAGAAGTTTAAGTTCAGTTTTGGTCCTCTAAAAAAGCTAATATCTTTACTCGTATGCATTCATGCATGTATTAATTACATTAATAGCTTGACTTAGCTCTTAATTTGATAAACCAATTTTAAGTATGGAATCATTTTATTTCCAGGAGACTGCAGGCCGACAGTGGTTTGTTTATGTGGTTTACATTGTGCACTCCTGTGATCTTCAACTTCACAGTATATCCTCGTCTACTTCACACGCCGAATACAGAGCAGCGGATGTGTTTGTGGAAGAACACACTGGAAAAGACCTCCAGAATTAATTCAATGAATTTTAATACTTATGAGTGTATAGTACAAATAGGAGAATGATACTTTATTGCTTCTAATTCACCCAAGCCCTGCCTAATAACGCCTACATGAATAAAAGAACACAAATTTTACAGTCTTCATAATGTATTTAATGATTTGTAGATTACATTTAATAGATCATGAAAACATTTCCAGTTGGTTTGTAAAAGGTGTCATTATTCATGCTTGGGCATGAATAATAATCATTTTGCCCAGCTGCGGGGAATCGAGTGCTTCGAAACTTTCGAAAAACAAAGTTTTGAAAAGCTTTGTTTCTCACATTGCTCCTTTTTCATTATGAAATTATTTGGACATATTAGCTATTTTTTTTCGCTTCGCTCTTTTTCTGTCGTAACATCTTAAATATGTTGTTTTTGTACTCTGAATAAAAAAGTCTGTCACTGTTGCTTTTCAACTTTGAATCAACTCTTCGGCACAGTGTGTTGAGTTTTCTAACAGTCCCTATAGATTGGCTTTGATTAATCTCACTTACTAACAAAGCGTGTATTTTCCGACGCTCCCTTAAAGTTCACCCAAAAATGAAAATTACCCCATGATTTACTCGCCCTCAAGCCATCCTAGATGTATATGACTTTCCTCTTTCAGACGAAACCAATCAGAGTTATATTTAAAAATGTCCTGGCTCTTCCAAGCTTTATAATGGCAGTGAATGGGTGTTATTTTTCAATAGTCCAAAAGAAGTCCAATAAAGCGCATCCATCCATCATAAAAAGTGCCTCACACGGCTCCAGGAGGTGAATAAAATCCTCCTGTAGCGAATCAATGCATTTTTGTAAGAAAAAAATCTATATTCAAAATTTAATAAACAGTAATCTCTATCTACCTCTAACTGTCTTCAATAGAACGCCGTTCCGGCGGATGACGTAGGACGTCGGCGTAACATAAGGTTCGGTGAGAATATGCTAGTCTCGCGAAAACCAATGTTTGTTAACAGGAGCAAAGGGAGCAAAGTTTCCTTACTTTAGCAAAGGAAAACCAGTCTCCTCTTGGCTTATATCCAAATCCTCTGACATTTTTCTTTACAAATCCTATTTTTGTACTTCTAATTCATGACCAGTGTTTTGTTTCGCCCTCTCCGCTGCACTTCCGCATTCGTCACTTCTCACTGGACCTTACGCTACGTCCTACGTCATCCGCTGTAACAGTGTTATTGTGAACGCGCGTACGACAGTTACTGAGATTACTGTTTATATAGTTTTAAATATGGATGTTTTTCTTACACAAACGCATCGATTCGCTTCAGGAGGCCTTTATTAACCCCTGGAGCCATGTGGGACACTTTTTATTATGGATGGATGTGCTTTATTTGACGTCTTTTGGACTATTGAAAAATAACACCCATTCACTGCCATTATAAAGCTGGGAAGAGCCAGGACATTTTTAAATATAATTCCGATTGGTTTTGTCTGAAAGAAGAATGTCATATACACCTAGGATGGCTTGAGGGTGAGTAAATCATGGGGTAATTTTCATTTTTGGGTGAACTAACCCTTCAAGGGTGTCGCGCATGCGCAGATCATCGCTCCGCCGCTAGTGGCCGCTGTTTCGCTCTCCGTTTTAGCCACAGCAGCCGAAGGCCGAAAATGTCAGACACCATGGCTCCGTCGCGCAGCTTCTGCTCGCGTTTTTACCGAACCCACGCGCCTATCGCACAGGCAACAGGCTCTAGAGGTTATTAATCACAAAACTCGGTCTTTCAAGTGGAGTGTTTTGACCATGAGTGTCGGCGATTGCGCCGCGTAACGCGCTCGACACGCACAAAGGCGGAGATTATGGAGTAAACGCGCGTCGCACGGCCGCTAGACTCACCATCATAATAACAATTACACTGCTATGGCACTCTCGGTGATCCAGACGTGTCGTAGTCTGGCCCTGTCCACCTGGCTGCTGTCCTTCTGCTTCGTCCACCTGCTGTGTTTGGACTTCACGGTGGCGGAGAAGGAGGAGTGGTACACGGCGTTCGTCAACATCACGTACGTGGATCCGGACACGGCCGAGGTGCGCACCGAGAAGACGGAGTGCGGGCGTTACGGGGAGCACTCGCTCAAGCGCGAGGCCAGAGGCGTGCTGGCGATGCCCGCCGCGCCGCAGGACAGACACGCGTGCGACCCCAGCTGCAGGTTCACGCCGCGCGGACACGGCGCGTGGATCGCGCTCATCAGCCGGGGAAACTGCACGTACAGAGACAAAATCCGAAACGCCGTGGGGAAAAACGCGTCCGCTGTGGTCATATTCAACGTGGGATCCTCCAACCCCAATGAGACCATCACCATGTCTGATTCAGGTGGTGCATGCTTGGTTATGATCGATTATGTCTGCGTGACAGGTTATGTGTGATTGCAGATCCATATTTGGTTATGGAGTGATGGCAAATGCAATGCGTGGTCAATGCATATGTGTTGTGATTCATGCATTCATCAACTAGATATGCATGTTTGGTTTTGTGTTATTGTAAGTCCATATATATACGGTTATGAGTGATGGCTGATGGTAATACATGCATGTGTGGTTATGTGTGATAAATGCATTATTGCATATTTAGAAATGTGTCTGGCTGAATGTGAATGCATATGTGTTTTATGAGTTTATATATTGTTATTAGTTATAATGAGTGCATGATATGTGTTATCGTAAATGCATATTAGGTTATGAGTGATTGTGAATGGGTATCTTGCGCGTTTGATTGTGTTTTGCTAAATCCGTGATGGTTTAAAGGAATATTTCACCCCAAAATTAAAATTTGCTGAAACTTTACTCGCCTTTTAGGACAATCCAAGATTAGGATGAGTTTGTTTCTTCATCAGATTTGGAGAAATGTAGCATTGCATCAGTGTCTCAGCAATGGATGCTCTGCAGTGAATGGGTGCCGTCAGAATGAGAGTCTGATAAAAACATCACAGCAACCCACACCACTCCAGTCCATCAGTTAATGTCTTGTGAAGCCAAAAGCTGCGTGTTTGTAAGAAACAAATCCATCATTAAGATGTTTTAACTTCAAACCATTGCTTCCAGCTAAAATATAAATCCATAATAACACTTCCTCCAGTGAAAAAGTGCATCTCGTGTTGTCTCTCGCATCAAAATCCACACACATATTAGTTTAGAGCATTTTAAACGCTGCTTGATCTGTGCAGATTTCTCTCCTGATTCACACCAGAACACTTTCTCACTGGAGGAAGAGTTATTATGGACTCGTATTTTAGCTGGAAGCAACAGTTTGAAGTTAAAAATGTCTTGATGGATTTGTTTCTTAGAAACATGCAGCTTTTGTCTTCTCAAGGCATTAACTGATGGACTGGGGTGGTGGGGATTATTGTGATGTTTTTAAAAATATAAATCCATAATAACACTTCCTCCAGTGAAAAAGTGCATCTCCTGTTGTCTCTCGCATCAAAATCCACACACATATTAGTTTAGAGCATTTTAAACGGTGCTTGATCTGTGCAGATTTCTCTCCTGATTCACACCAGAACACTTTCTCACTGGAGGAAGAGTTATTATGGACTCGTATTTTAGCTGGAAGCAACAGTTTGAAGTTAAAAATGTCTTGATGGATTTGTTTCTTAGAAACATGCAGCTTTTGTCTTCTCCAGATGTTAACTGATGGACTGGAGTGGTGTGGATTACTGTGATGTTTTTATCAGCTGTTTGGACTCTCATTCTGACGGCACCCATTCACTGCAATTCAGGCCCCGAAAATAGTAATTCGTTCTTGTACCTTGGGCACTGTAATGTAAATTGTCACATGCTTTAGTGTTTTTGTGGGTATTTCTGACTTCTCTATAAAGTGTTTGAACGTCGTCCAGCTGTGTTTGTATGTTCTCTCACATCTGGAAGTCATGAGAGAATCTTTAGACGTGATGTTGGTGTTCAGGCTCGACTGGAGCGGTCACTTCAGCGTTCTGCTCGTTCCGCGTCTCAGAAGCTTCATCTGACGCCTCTTATCTTTCTCTATCTCTCTGTGAAGTGTTGCAGAAACGCTGCTTGTTTAGTTCCTCTCTTTGTTCTGCGTCAGTATCTGCGCTTCTCCCTCTTGTTGTTTTTCTTGTCATCTTTAACTCTTTCTTTGAACTCTGTGTTTGGTTTGGGCTGAGGAGGTTCTCCGTCTGATGTTAAAGGTTTTCACTGTGCTGTTTTTAGGGTCCTATGAAATCCCCCCCCAAACTCTGTTGTATTTTTTCCCAAATTATATACTTTTCTGAATTCCATTTATTTCCCATTTAAACATTTTCTGGATTCTGTTTTAATGTATACATTCCATTTTAGTAACCAAAAAGCAATTCTAATTCATTAATCATGATACTTATACAATTTAACAACAATTTATTAAAGTTGAACAAAAATCGCATATATGGTCTTATAAAATCCATTAGATTTTTTCCCCCAAATTAATTTTTTTTTCATTTTAATTTTTCTAGATAATTTTTTCTGATTTAAATGGTTCGATTAAATCATAATAATCAGAGAGAATGTCTAATCTTTTATGTATTAAAAGTTTAACAAAATGAGTTTTTGAAGACATATGAAATCCATTTTATTTTTTTCCCATTTTCATTTTATTTTTTTTTCCTGTATTTTTTTTTTTCGATTTAAATTTTCTGGATTACGTTTAAATGGTTAGATTAAATAATAAAAATCAGAAAGAATGCCTGATTAATTAAAATCATGAAACTTATTCAGTTTAACAAAAAAAATATGAAAAAGTTTAACAAAGTTAAAAAATTTTAAGACCTATGAAATCCATTAGATTTTTTCCCCATTTTTATTTATTTTTTCAAATTCTGTAATTTTTTTCCACAAATAATTTTTTCCCCCATTTAATTAGAATTTGTCTAGTTTATTTTTCCCACAGAAGAAGTGAGTTAGTCTAGTCGAGGCGCTGGTTAACTGTGGCTCTGTGTTTCAGGCACCGGGGACGTGGTGGCCATCATGATTCCCGAGCCGAAGGGTCGTGATCTGGTTCTTCTGATGGAGAGGAACATCTCCGTTCACATGCACATCACCGTAGGAACACGCAACCTGCAGAAATACGTCAGCCGCACCTCCGTGGTCTTCGTCTCCATCTCCTTCATCATCCTCATGATCATCTCGCTGGCCTGGCTCGTCTTTTACTACATCCAGCGCTTCAGATACGCCAACGCCAGGGACCGCAACCAGGTACAAACCCGAGAAACCTCGTCTTATGAAATGCTTAAATGCGTTTTGCAGCCACTGTATATGTTAGACATACAATTTTGCTCAATCAACTTTGATCGGAATGATCATTTATGTGAAGATCAAATAAGGCTGAGTGATTAATCGAAATAAAATCGAAATCATGTAATAGCTTAGTGCGATTTAAGACGACCATAAATATTAATATTGTAATTTTACAGAAATAATAATTATTATTATATTTTTTCTTTACACTGAAATATTACATTAATAATATTTCTTATTTAGTTTTTATATAATAATATTTATATATTTATGTATTTGTTATTGTTTATAATAATAATAATAACAGCATAATAATAACAAATATTAATAATTGTTTTTATTGTACAGTGAAATATTACATTAATATTTCATATTTTAGAAATTGATTATTATTATTATTTAAAAAAATTATTATTAATTATTTTATTATGTTTTCTTACATATATAGAATTACATATATAATAATATAATTATTATTAGTATAATTATATACTTTTTTCTTAAATACAAATGTTTTTATTGCACAGTGAAATATTACATTAATAATAATTCAAAGTTTAGTAGTATTTATTTGTATTATTATCTATACAAATAATACAAAATAATAAAATTTAATTTAATAGCCACATTGATTATAAAATTGCAAAAAAACAAAACATTTTGCTTGTTTTTGGTGGTTTGCATGTTTGTGTGTGTTTGAACGCGACCCTAAAACATGATAACAGGCCACAGTAAGGGACTTTCATCACATGCCTGAAGGCAACATAGCTTTCATTACAGCTCTCAGTCTTGAATTATTCTAACGAGAGACGGCTGTGCTGTAGGACATCACAGTCTGAAGTTCATTAATAACCTTCTGTTCTCTGATTGGTCAGAGGAGGCTGGGCGACGCTGCCAAAAAAGCCATCAGCCAGTTACAAGTGCGGACCATCAGGAAAGGCGATCAGGTGAACCAATAAACACTCAATATTGCAGTCTTTAAAGCCGTGAGATTGAATTCAACACTCTCTCTTGTGTCTTATGATGTGTGTGCTTTTCTTTAGGAGACGGAGAGTGATTTTGATAACTGTGCCGTGTGTATCGAGGGTTATAAACCAAATGATGTAGTGAGAATCTTACCTTGCAGGTAAACACTCACCTGATGCTACTAACAAGATGTAGCTAGCTACATTAATGCGGTTATTTCAATAGTAATACAGTTATATATATATATATATATATATATATATATATTTTATAATTTATTTATATATTGTATATTTTTTAATGTTTAAAATCTTCAATATTGCAGTCTTTAAAGCCGTGAGATTGAATTCAACACTCTCTCTTGTGTCTTATGATGTGTGTGCTTTTCTTTAGGAGACGGAGAGTGATTTTGATAACTGTGCCGTGTGTATCGAGGGTTATAAACCAAATGATGTAGTGAGAATCTTACCTTGCAGGTAAACACTCACCTGATGCTACTAACAAGATGTAGCTAGCTACATTAATGCGGTTATTTCAATAGTAATACAGTTATATATATATATATATATATATATATATATATATTTTATAATTCATTTATATATTGTATATTTTTTAATGGTTAAAATCCTTAGATAAGGCTGCATTTATTTGGTAATGAAAACAGCTGAATAAATTAACTTTATTATTATTATCATTATTAGTAATAATGATAATAATAAGAAGAAATGTTATGTAATTATTATTAATTACAGTAATAAATTAATGCATGAAATTATTTCCAGAAGATTCATTATTTTTATTTTCTATTTTATTTTGTTCTTTTAACATTAATATTTTGAAGTACTTTTTTTATCTGTTTTCATTTGAATTTTAAAAAGTTTGTCATTTTTTTATTAGTATTTTTCACATTAATTTTATAAAAAAATTTTCATTTTTAGTTTTAAATAATTTCCATTGGATTATTATTTTTTATTTCATCTTATTTTATTTTATTTAGTTCTTAAAACATCATATGGTGCCTTAGTGTTATTTTACTATCACTGATGCTATAAATATTTTTAAATATTTAGAATTATTTTTATATTTATGCTGTTTATATTTTAGAGAATTTTGTTGTGATTTTGACATTTTTATTAGTTTTGTTTTTTTAATATATCTGTAATTTTAACACATTTTTATTTCAGTTTTAGTTATGCTAATACATGGAGTTAGACTAAATGAAAAATGATGCCTTGTTTTCATTTTAATTTAAGTTAAAGTGTTAGTACTTTTGTTGTGTTTTCGTAATTTTTTGATATATATATATATATATAAATATTATATGTTTAGTTTTTATTGATATATAATTAAGTTAAACTAAATGAAAATAAAATGTTGCCTTGGTAACTAGCTAAAATACAATAAGTTTAAGCCTTTTATATTTTATTTTCAAGTTATGAAAGTTTATTTGATGTTTTTAGTAGTTTAGTTTAATGCTTAATTGTAAGAATCCTGTCTTTAAGCATGGTAAAGTCACTGAAATGCACGGCTTATTGCTTTAATATGGCTGTAGGGTAATTCTATGGCGTTTAACTCTGTTGTTTGAATGCGGTGTAATTCTGTTCATGCGCAGTCGAGTGCCGAGTGTCTGAATGAACTCCCTCTGGACTATGAGCTCGCCGTGGGGGGCGTGGCTCTCAACGCCATGGTGATGAGCGATGATGTCATGGGCGGTGATGTCGTCGGGGGGCGTGGCCCCGGTGTGAGGATGGTGGGTCTCCCTCAGGTCCTCCTGGACTCTGAGTCGCTGTCCCAGGACACCTTGCCAACCGAACAGAGTGAGTGTTACTCCTCACAGAGCTCACAAAGTCCTCCTCTTCTGTAGTGCTAGGCATTGTGGGTAATTACTTACATTTAAGCATTTAGCAGATGCTTTTTAATCAAAAGCGACTTACAAATAATAGCGCGTATTTAATAATAGCCCAAAAGATGTAAACCATTCAGGCAGCCTTGTGAATAAGAAGTAAAATAGTAATGCATTACAGAAATAATCAACTTTAAGCGCAAACTCAATTTAATGTTTTTCACACTTAATTGCATGCTAATTGCCATTAAATGAAAATGTATTATAATTTAAATGTATGTTAAATGCAGTTAGTTGAACTTTAGTGATCTCTCTATGTAATTTCATAACTTATATTGTTTTTGAAATATGCATAATGTGTACTGAAAAATATACTGACAAACATTTATGGTAAACCAAATATATTTTAATGTTAATGTTATTATGTTATGTTACGTTATGTTATTATGTAATGTTTAATTTCTTTTGAAACTTGTATATATTTAAATGTAACAGAATTATTACAGTTAACTAAAACAATCAAAAAACATTTTTGTTATTAGAAATAAAATAAATGTTAACTGAAAAAAAAAAAAATGAATTAACCATATTTTAATTCTGCTAGTTCCCGAGGAAAAATTCTAATTTTCATAAATTTTTTACTTAATGTACAAAATAACTAAAATGTGTGTGTGTGTGTGTGTGTGTGTGTGTGTGTGTGTTTATAAACAAAAAAAATTACTAAAACTTTAACAAATTAAAATAAAAACATAAAAAATACAAATATATTAATTTAAACTGTTAATAAAAACTATAACCGTATCTAATTGATACTAAAATAACACGTTGTAATTTAGTATATTTAAAATGTATTAACTTTAAATGTAATATAGAATAACACTAGTTAAAATTAATATCACATACTTTACATGTGCATCAGTATGTGCAACATCAAAATAAGTGTACTTTTTAGAGCACAACAGAATATTTTTAGAACAATATTTTAAAATGTACTCTTTTAATTCAACATTATTAAAAAGTACACTTTTTAGAAGTGTACTTATGAAAGTGGCCTTTTATTTAATCAATATTATATAATCTGCAAGTACAGATTTAAAAAAATATAAGATTTGAAGTACACTTCAAGTGCAATTTTCATATGCTTTGCAACTTGTGCTTATTCTCTTCTTGCATGCTGTTTAGTAAGGACAGCGTGCCAGTTAGGACACATCCGCGATGAATATCATTATCATATATTATCTTTCCTCCACAGGTGAGTTACAGCCAATAGCCAGCGGCAGTTCAGAGGTGTCGCTTGTGATGGGGGCGGGGCATTCGGACATGGACACGCCCACTGATGATCCAAAGTGCTGATCTGGCCACGCCCACTCGTGCTTAAACGTTTGGGTGACCACGGCGACAGCATTAGACGAGTTGAATGGGCTTTGAATGGCCAGTGATTGACCGACACGCTGCCTGCCGAGTACATACTACAATCCACATCCAATGTTACATTCATTTCATCTTCCTTCCTTTTTCTCTGAAAAGCAGGGTAAACTCTGTTCTCTCGCCCGCAGTGCACACTACAGTATGCACTTGAGCTAAAGCACTTGTTCGGGATCCGCAGACGATCGGTTCTGCTCTGCTCGACAATCTTCTCTTTCTTACCGCCGCAGTGTTCGCTGCCCGTTTTACCATTTGTCTGTGATCCCAGCGGAAAGAACGTGTCAAAGACTATTTTGAATCTGATCAGAAGTGGTTTATTTTTCTATAGAGAAGCATTTGATGTGCTCGAGTTCTGCAGTATTAAAAAAAACAAAAGAGAATCTCAGTATTCAGACACCGTCCTCATCCAAAGACGCCTGACCTGGAGTGTGTGACGGACGTCGTGCGGGACAAAACTGTGGGACTTTCTAGGAAGTGCTCTTTGGATTCTGTGGAGCAGGACATGTGATGTTTGCTGTGCACGCCACGTGCCCTGTCCACTTGAGAGTTTAGTGGAAATCATTTAAAGGGATAGTTGCCCAAAAATAAAAGTTCACTGACGGTGTCTTCACCCTCAGGCCATCCAAGATTTGAGAAAAAGAACAAATTTGGAGAAATGTAGCATTGCATCAGTGTCTCAGCAATGGATGCTCTGCAGTGAATGGGTGCCGTCAGAATGAGAGTCCAAACAGCTGATAAAAACATCACAATAATCCACACCACTCCAGTCCATCAGTTAACTGGAAGGATTTGTTTCAGCTTCTCCAGATGTTAACTGATGGACTGGAGTGGTGTGGATTATTGTGATGTTTTTATCAGCTGTTTGGACTCTCATTCTGACGGCACCCAATATGAGTCCATAATAACGCTTCCTCCAGTGAGTCAGTGTTCTGGTGTGAATCAGGAGAGAAATCTGCACAGATCAAGCAGCGTTTAAACACCTCTAAACACATATGTGACTGGATTTTGATGTGAGAGACAACAGGAGATGCACTTCTTCTTTGGAGGAAGAGTTATTATGGATTATGGACTCGCATTTTAGCGGCAAGCAGAGGTCTGAAGTTAAAAATGTCTTGATGGATTTGTTTCAGCTTTTGTCTTCTCCAGATGTTAACTGATGGACTGGAGTGCTGTGGATTATTGTGATGTTTTTATCAGCTGTTTGGACTCTCGTTCTGACGGCACCCATTCACTGCAGAGCATCCATTGCTGAGACACTGATGCAATGCTACATTTCTACAAATCTGATGAAGAAACAAACTCATCCTAATCTTGGAATGCCTGAGGATGAGTAATATTCAGCAAACATTAATTTTTGGGTGAACTATTTCTTTAAAGGTATAGTTCACCTCATAAGTAATAGTTCTGTTACTGTTTATTCACCCTCGGGTCATTCCAAATCTCTGTATTATTATTTCTTCATTTCTGTAAAACTCCAGAATCACTTGTGCGCTATATTCAAACAGTTTCAGATGTTCTTTGTCAAATCAAAATCATGGAATGACATGAGGGTGAGTAAATGATCATTTTCAGGTGCACTGCTCCTTTAAATCTGTAACTCGTTCTTCCTTGTTTGACTGTATTGTAAATAGAGAATAATTTTGTCCAGTTTCCTCCTTAATTGCCAAGTTTTTCCATCATGCACTTTATGTATTTGAGGTTGGATTTCATTTTGAGATTCGAAGTTCGGTCACAAGTTTGTATATTCACACACAAAGACGCGTGCAGTTCACCTCACCATATTACACACACACACACACACACACACACACACACACAGTCTGGTCAGCTATCCTTGTGGGGACTCTCCATAGGCGTAATGGTTTTTATACTGTACAGACCGTATATTCTATTGCCCTACACCAACCCTACCCCTAAACCTACCCCTCACAGGAGACTTTCTGCATTTTTAGATTTTCAAAAAACTTCATTCTGTATGATTTATAAGCTTTTGTACCCGTGGGGACCTCAATTTAGGTCCCCACCGTGACATGAGTCCCCATGAGTCTGTGTGTAGTCAGTTTTAAGTCCCCACCAGGATATATAAACCTGTACACACACACACACACTCTCACTCAGTAGAGGTTTGTTCCATTTCATGCTCAGTATTTTGCACGTGTTTCTGTAAGACTGTGTTTTGAATATTAATAAATTTTAATGTAAATTTTTGGGGCTAAACGTCGTGCTTCTCATTTACACAGTGTTTTACGTCTCTCGACTTTGATGTCACATGATTGCATCTCATTTAAATGTTTCCTGAGATTCCGACACAGTTGAATAATGAACATTCAAGTCTTTATTCTAAACTCAAGGATAGTGACAGTTGAAACAGTTCCTGGATTTATGGCTAAAGTAAGATGTTTTTGCTGGATGTGAAGGATGTTGGATCTGGTGGAGGTTTCAGGCCTGCTTCTCAGTGTCCTCTGCTTTATCTGAGGGACAAAACATTAGACTTTTAGCTCAGATTTGCGTGTATGAACGCAGACGGGATAGAAAGTTGCAGTACAAACAAATGACAGAAAAGAATCATTTACAGAAACGATAATGTAACTCACTCTCATTTCACCGCATGAACGGGTACGAGGAACTGAGAGAGAGAGAGTGACATGCAGTTTCTGTAATGATTAATATGCTCAAACTTCAGCAGAACATGTTTCTTTGTATATTTTAATGCATTTGATACAAAATGTATTGCATGTATGTGTATATATAAAACCTGGAGATATATATACACACACACAACAACAACATTTTAAAATAGTTTTCGATAGAGTTGTTAATTCGTTAGTAACTCACCTTTTAGTTTCACTGCGAGCTTCTGCAAATTTGTGTCTGGTCATAAAACTTGCCAAAGCATCTGCCACCTCAAAAATGTACAAAAATCAAATATTGAATTAAAACACAGCAACAAGAATAAAATGATCTGTGCTTAATATTTATACAGATGGAGTGAATGTTGAGGTTTCCAAGACGGCATTTATTTATTCAAAAATACAGTAAAATGGTAAATATTATTATAGTGTAAAATAGCTGTTTTCTTTGTGAATATCTGTTCAAATGTAATTTATTTCTGTGACCAAAGCTGTATTTCCAGCATCATTCCTCCAGTCTTCAGTGTCACATGATCTTCAGAAATCAGTATAATATGCTGATCTGCTGCTCCAGAATCATTTCTGATTATTATCAATGTTGAAAACGGTTGTGCTGATTAATATTTTTGTGGAAAGCGTGATGCATTTTATTTTTCAGGATTCACAGATGAATAGAACGTTCAAAAGAACAGCGTTTATTTGAAATAGAAATCCTCTTACTGTCACTTTTGATCAATTTAATGCACCCTCGCTGTATAAAAGTATCAATTTCTTAGAAGAAGATCAGTGCTTTTGAATCATAAGCTTTTGAATAGAAATGTATATATGCTCTTACTTTATCTGGGATGTCCTCGTGCACTGCATGTCCACAAGGGGGCAGCACCTGCATCATGAATTTACCTACAGAAGCCATAGAAAAGAATAAATAGAGAATAGCATAGAAGCATATTACTATGTCTGCCATTATTCAGGTGTAAACACTGTTGGGCACAGAACGTGTAATTTTTTCAGTACTGGGCAGGTCGACCAGTCATTCGTGATTAAAAGGATGAGGCATCTTTAAAATCATTCATATAGATTGCTGGGGCAGATATCAATGTTTCTGTCAGAGTTTTAAATGATTATGCAGCTCAGTGCATGATTGGTCTCATAGGATATAGTTAGTGATCAGACTCACCCTGCATCTGTCCAATGGTCAGGTCTCTGTCCAGTCGATCAATGCCTGAACACAGGACACGTTTTATATTAAACGGACCGGACTGAGCAGGTTTGTTGTCTTGTGTATTTTTTTAGATTTCATGTGTTTCATGAGGAGTGCTTTGATTGGTCCGTGTCTCTTGCCTGCCAGCAGTAGGAGTTTTGGGACGTTGCAGGACAGAAAGAGGTTCGATATCCCTCTGAACCAGCCGTCCCAGTATTTCTCTGCTTTAGACAGGTCGATTCTCCAGCTGTACACACTGCACGGCTGAAACACACACACACACGCTCATGCACATCGATTACGCTCAGTTGTTTATCGTGCACTGATTGTTCAGTTGCACATGGAGGGGTCAAAGGTTAACAAATGTTAAATATGGGTGTGTGACCAATAGCTGTATTTCAGTTGTTATGGAAGCCCATTCTGCCACATAAGAAACAATTCATGCTTTAGTAGATCGTAATTATGAGATGAGTCATAATTAGGAGTCAAAATTATGAGATAAAAAGTCATAATATGACTTAAAAATGTATATACCAAATCATAATAATGAGATAAGTCGTAACTGCTTTACCAAATAGTAATTATGACATTAAAAAGTAAGGATTATAAAATGTCATTGACGAAAATTGAAAAATGGCATAGTATGTCATAACTGACTTATTAAAGTCATTAAAGTCCAAATTATTTAATTATGAGATTATACACTAATTTAATTTACTAATCTAATTTCTGAGATTAAAATCAAAATTGACAAAAAAAATCTGAATTATGAGTGTAAACCGTAATATGTACAGTAACATAATTATGAGATAAAAAGTCAAAATAGAGATTTAAAAAAAAAAGTTGAAATTTAGATAAATCAAAATTATGAATAAAAAAATTTAAATTGAGTGTAAACCGTCATAATTGAAAAAAAGTCACAATTATGGCAAAAGTTGTAATTCACCCAAAAAAACTGAGGTTAAAAAAAACAAAACTGACACAAAAAAATTATGAGTTTAAAGTCATAGTTATGAGATAAGAATTTGAAATTGAGTAAACCAAAATTATGAGATAATTTTTTTTTTGAAATTGACAAAAAAACGTGTAAGCAGTCACAACTGAATCAAAATTATGACAGTAGTAATTATGAGATAGTCAAATTTATGAGATTTAAAAATTGAAATTGACAAAATTAAATGGAGTGTAAACAATCATAATTGAGAAAGTCAAAATTATGACATACTGAGACCCCCAAAAAACTAATAATAATAATAATAATTCCAAATTATGAGATTAAAAAATCTAAAATAATAAGTTTAAACAGATAAAAAGTCGAAATTAGGACATACTAAAGGATAAATATGAGACAAAAATCTGGTATTATTAGAATTTTGAATATGATTGTCAATTTCAAAGAAACAGGCTTCCATACATCTGCATTAATTTGCATAATTCAATAATTTGTGATAGTGTGTGTATATATAAGGCAACTAATTATGTATATACAGGTAGCATGGTACAGTAACGTTCATAGCACAGTATTACCATGGTACATATCCAGAGTGCCAGTGTTTATGCTGAGGTCCTGAGGAGCTCACCTCTGCTGATGCGCTGCTCTCTGCTTTCTCTGTCACATAGTTGAGGTCGTAAAACTCCTCGTGCCCCTCGGCCACGCTCTCAGTCACCGGACTCACCGGCTCGGCCGAATCGCCTTCCTCCACCTCACACCTGAGAGACACACGCTCGTTCAGTGAGCCCCAACTGATGTGTGATGAGGAGGAGGAGCGCATGTGTGCTCGGATCCTACCGTCTCATTTGTCCAACCATTGACACTTTAGCAGATTCAAGGTTTCTGATCTGCCCACTTTTTACACTGCAACCAGAAAACAAACATATGTTGGACGATTTTTGTTTTGTTGACAGCAATTAATACTTTTACTTAGTGAGGATGCATTAAATTGATCAAAAGTGAAAGTAAAGACATTTCTAATGTTACAAAAGATTTCTATTTCAAATAAATGCTGTTCTTTTGAACTTTCTAAAATCCTGAAAAATAAGTTCTATCACGGTTTCCTCAAAAATATTGAGCAGCACAACTGTTTTCAAGATTGATAATAATCAGAAATGTTTCTTGACAGTTCTTTTAAATTTGAATAATATTTGAACAATATTACTGTTTTACTGTATTTTTTATCAAATAAATGCAGCCTTGATGAGCAGAAGAGATTTCTTTCAAAAACATTTTCCTACTCCAAACGTTTAAATGATAAAATTTTCTTTGTTGTGAAAAAGTCAATGTTGATTATGACAAAAATGGAAAACTATGACATTAATAGAGATAACGTCGAAATTGACATACTAAATCAGAATTATTAGATAAGGCATAATTATAAATTGACAAAAAAACGTGTAAGCAGTCATAACTGAATCAAAATTATGACAGTAGTAATTATGAGATAGTCAAATTTATGAGATTTAAAAATTGAAATTGACAAAATTAAATGGAGTGTAAACAATCATAATTGAGAAAGTCAAAATTATGACATACTAAGACCCCCAAAAAACTAATAATAATAATAATAATTCCAAATTATGAGATTAAAAAATCTAAAATAATAAGTTTAAACAGATAAAAAGTCGAAATTAGGACATACTAAAGGATAAATATGAGACAAAAATCTGGTATTATTAGAATTTTGAATATGATTGTCAATTTCAAAGAAACAGGCTTCCATACATCTGCATTAATTTGCATAATTCAATAATTTGTGATAGTGTGTGTATATATAAGGCAACTAATTATGTATATACAGGTAGCATGGTACAGTAACGTTCATAGCACAGTATTACCATGGTACATATCCAGAGTGCCAGTGTTTATGCTGAGGTCCTGAGGAGCTCACCTCTGCTGATGCGCTGCTCTCTGCTTTCTCTGTCACATAGTTGAGGTCGTAAAACTCCTCGTGCCCCTCGGCCACGCTCTCAGTCACCGGACTCACCGGCTCGGCCGAATCGCCTTCCTCCACCTCACACCTGAGAGACACACGCTCGTTCAGTGAGCCCCAACTGATGTGTGATGAGGAGGAGGAGCGCATGTGTGCTCGGATCCTACCGTCTCATTTGTCCAACCATTGACACTTTAGCAGATTCAAGGTTTCTGATCTGCCCACTTTTTACACTGCAACCAGAAAACAAACATATGTTGGACGATTTTTGTTTTGTTGACAGCAATTAATACTTTTACTTAGTGAGGATGCATTAAATTGATCAAAAGTGAAAGTAAAGACATTTCTAATGTTACAAAAGATTTCTATTTCAAATAAATGCTGTTCTTTTGAACTTTCTAAAATCCTGAAAAATAAGTTCTATCACGGTTTCCTCAAAAATATTGAGCAGCACAACTGTTTTCAAGATTGATAATAATCAGAAATGTTTCTTGACAGTTCTTTTAAATTTGAATAATATTTGAACAATATTACTGTTTTACTGTATTTTTTATCAAATAAATGCAGCCTTGATGAGCAGAAGAGATTTCTTTCAAAAACATTTTCCTACTCCAAACGTTTAAATGATAAAATTTTCTTTGTTGTGAAAAAGTCAATGTTGATTATGACAAAAATGGAAAACTATGACATTAATAGAGATAACGTCGAAATTGACATACTAAATCAGAATTATTAGATAAGGCATAATTATGAATTAACATATCATAACTGACGACATATAATTGAAACCTAACATACTCAGTCATAACTAGTCGTAGTCATAACTATGACATACTAAGTTGTGAGATAAAAAGTAAACATTATGAGAAAAAAGTAATTATACGATACAATTTGAGATTATAGGCTAACACATGAAGTTGAATTGAGATAAGTCATAATTATGAGATAAAACGTCGTATTTGAGATAAATTGATATAAAATGTCAATTATGACATAAAATCGAAACCTAGCATACTAAGTCATAATTATGAGATAAAAAGTTGACATTATGACATACTAAGTCGTAATTGTGAGACAAGAAGTCATAAGAAAAAAAGTTGTGATTATAACACATGAAGTCATAATTATGAGATAAAAAGTGAAAGTTGAAAGACTAAGTCATAATTATGAGATAAAAAGTGAAAATTGAAAGACTAAGTCATAATTATGAGATAAAAATTTGACACTATGACATACTAAGTCATAATTGTGAGACAAGAAGTCATAAGATAACGATTTGTGATTATAACCCATAAAGTCATAATTATGAGATAAAAAGTGAAAGTTAACAGACTAAGTCATAATTATGAGATAAAAAATTTGAAATGATCATTCTTATAAACATGTAATTTCTCTCTGTTTTAGGGTTAGTGAAAGAGTTGGTAGGTTTATGATTTAGGTGTCTAGCCTGCAGGAATGTTGTTCCAGACCAACAAAAGCAAGTCTTACTCGGCAAAATTACAGTCACTTTTAAAAGAAAAGGGAATGTATTTTGTGATTATTTGTTCAAAGAATCTGTTTGTTTCTGAACAGTGCTTTATTCCTGGATTAAACCTGGACTAAATTTCGCCGTAAAGCGTTTGTATAAATTGTGTTGTTGTAGTCATCTGTGTGCTGCGTGTTGTTTTGAGTTCAGAGCAGATGAGACGCTCTCTAATAGTAAGCGTCATCTGGACGCTGACCTCCATTCAATGGCATGATCGATGGATTTGAAGGATTTGGGTCGTCCTCTCAGGAAGTTCTGCATGCTGTGCAAGACGTCCATCGCACTGCCTGCATAACACAAACAACGCAAACCACACACTCATCAGCGTATTTCCACACTGACCTCTGACCTGATTCACAGCTAAATCATGTTTTAGTCCTACACAAGAGCTGGGCTGAAGGAACGTGACCGTGTATGCTTCTATTTCCCATCTAAAAAATTATATAAAAATAACAATAAAAAAAAACGTGTTAAAAAGATTTCTAAGAAAATGTATGTTTTTATATGAATTTTTAAAATTATTTTGGAAAGTGACTATGTTTATATTTCAAATCTAAAAAATAATATAAAAATAAAAATGCTAAAAAGATTTAAAAAAAAAAAAAAAGAGTTTTTATATAAATTTTTGAATGATTTTTATTTTATTAGTAGTAGTAGTAGTAGTAGTGGTAATATTTTGCAGTACTAACAGTTTTTGTATAATATAATATGGCATGTATATTTTGGCAGAAACTATGATTTCCATGGTAAAATATTGTGTGGAAAAGCTTAAGCTTGTACAAATGTTTTCTTAAAATTAGTGCTGTCAAACGATTAATCGTGATTAATCGCATCCAAAATAAACGTTTTTGTTTACATAATATATGTGTGTGTACTGTGTATATTTATTCTGTATATATAAATACACACATACAGTATATATTTTGAAAATATTTACATGTTTATACATTTATATATTCATATTCTTATATTTGATATTATATAGAAATATATTTAATATGTAAACATAACATATTTTTCTTATATATATATATATACATATACATACATATGTTTGTATATATATATATATAAGAAAAATATGTTATGTTTACATATTATATATATATATATACATATACATACATATGTTTGTATATATATATATATAAGAAAAATATGTTATGTTTACATATTATATATATATATATACATATACATACATATGTTTGTATATATATATATATAATAAATACACACAGCACACACACATATATTATGTAAACAAAAACGTTTATTTTGGATGCGATACATTTTTATATACATGTTTTGTATTTATTTTTATTATTATTAGTTGTAGTAGTAGCAGAAGTAGTAGTAGTTTTCTTTTTTTTGTGATATCAGTGCATGCATTTTGACGATGATGCTGGTTCATATTGACAGATGACGCAGTGTTTCTCACCCTCCACCACATCGATGGCCACCAGCCCCACCACAGAGGGAAGCAGCGCTCCACTGGACGCATGCACCGCGATGGCTCCGCCCACATTGTGACCCACCAGGATGATGGGGGGCGGGGTCTCTCCATACGTAGCTCGCACCACATTGGCTACGTCTCTGTGAGCAGAGGAGGTGATTGGTCAGCTCTGAATACTACAGCCTGTTAATCATATCTGTGTATGTGTGTGTGTGTGTGTTTTACCTGGACATGGTTTGTGTGGAGAGGTCATCGGCGTGCCGGACCTGAGTAGCACCTGTTTGTGATTGTACTAGTCAGATCAGTGCACACGGGTAACTGCTGCACGTTAAACCTAAACTAAAGCTAGAAGTTTGATCTCACCGTGACCCCTGAGATCCATGGCCAACACCCGACAAGTGACCCGACTGGCCATCGCTGCCTGTTGAGGAGAAACTCATTATTCATCATGAAGTGAGACATGAATGAATTCCCCTGTTGCAGAGTTATTATAGTTAAATCCATAAAAAACATTTGGTATCACTTTACTTGAAGCCTTTATATATAATGCAATATAAAAGTATTTTTAATGCATTAATCTCATTATGGTCAGTATGATCGCATTAATAATTCTAACCACAGTTATAATGCATTATAACAAACACTATTCAGTTACTCCTTGAGAAAGTATAATAGATTATAACACATGAGAAAAAAACAGTATCTATTGCCATGGTTTAAAAAAAGTAATTGTGACAATTTATCGCACAATTCTATTTTTTCCCTCACAATTGCGAGTTTATATTTCGCAACGACTTTTTTATCGTCATTTTGAGATATTTTGAGATAAAATGTCATGAGCTGGGTTTGCTTCTCTGTTTCTCTCTCACACACACATACACACACACATACATACTCTATCATGCACACACACACACTCAGGCACACCCATGCTCATTCTAGCTCTCATCTCCACCTGTTTGTCATCACAATCAGCATGTGTGCTGCTTTGCGGGGACACCTGTTTCCACTCTGATCTATTAGTCACTCTATTTCTAGTGGTTGGGCTCACTGCTCTCTGTCGGATTATTGTGTTTCCTCTGTGTCTGTGTTTCAGGAGGAGCCTGGTGAATTGTCGGGAGTTCCAGGGTAGTACCACGATCTGCGGGCGGTCTTCAGCCTTTCCTGGCCTACCTCCTTGCCGCCTCATCGCCCCTATGACTGCAGCATAGAGCTCCTTCCTTCACCATGCCACCCCACGGTCGTTTATACTCGCTCTCGGCGCCCGAGCGAGAGGCTCTGGAGAAATACCTC